GTCTCACTATGTAGTTCAGACTGCGCCACCAAGCCTGCCTCTTGGTGAAAACTTTTAAAATCCTTCTTTTACAGTGTTTTTTCTCTTCTTCTAGCCACAGGTACTGACACCCACAGCCTTCCTGTGTCCCTGGGGCAAAGGATATGCCTGGGCCACACCTCATCCACAGGTGATGGAGTCTCACTGTGTCAGAAATTTCAGGCAGTCTGGGTAGCCTCAGAACGCCTCTGATACTGACCTTCGTTCTCTGCTTTCCGCTAATCACAGAAACCTCAAGTTGGTATCCTATCTCTTAGAGATAAGAACACTTGAAGGACAAAATGTGGTACAGCGGGATACTAGGCCAACACGTTTAAAATAGTAAAGGGAGGTAGATATGTTTTGTGAGCCAAGAGTCATACTAAGATACAGTACGTACAGAATGAAGTGTAGTTCTCGTGCTTCTTGGGTTGGTTATGGCTTGATAGAGCTGAAATAAAAGTGCAGAAGAAGAGTCCTGTAGCTTAAAGGGGATTCTACTTAGGAATTGGGAGACTTCACCATGATCCCCAGGCCTGCATGCCAAAGTGCTTACCTCTGTGCATAACGTTCTTTCCTTTTTCATGGATTCTAAGGATTCTATTTATCGGTACCGCTCTGACTAGGCCAGGAATTCTACAGTCTAGCGCATCTGTACGGCACTCACTAATAGATCAGAACCACATGTAGTACTCAAAGGGAAGTGCGTTGTAGCGAGGAGGTTGGGAAGATGGGAAAATGGTTAGGTATGGAGAAGAAAGAAACAAAAAATAACAGTCACTGACATTTTGGAAATCATTGCAGATCTACTCATTCTGCCTCCTCGGTGGGCACTGCAAGTCTTTCTTACACATCTCTAGCTCACACATAGAATTATCAATATTGCTCAACCAGAGTGCCTTGTAGAGAAAAGATATAATGGGACAGAAAACACTGACATAAAGTATTTCTATTCACTTTGTTCAGTTGAAACCATTTCCTCATAGACTTCAGAGAAAAAGTTCCCAGGGTCATCAATGTTACGCAGGCACCAATGTGTAGAAAAGGAAAAGCAAGCTAGAAGCAGACCCATTTCAGAGGATGGGGCGGGCCGATCAACTCACATATTCTACACCTTCAAAGGCAATAATCCTTTGCCTTTGAAAAGGGTGACTGTCACTTACCTTTTTCTCTACCTCTTCCTAATGCTTTCCTGTAGTTAGGCAGCATAGGATACGCATTCTGCTGCTTTACTCACGGCTTGCTACGCCTATCCTCTGGATTCTGATACGTCAGCGAAAGGCATTAAAGGCAGTTTCCTAGCAACATGTGTATTCAAAAGGAGAACAAGAAAAGCTTAAAAAACACACACTTTATATTCCCCACAGTTAATTCCTACTTATCCGGAGATGATAGTAGGTAGCAAAGAAAGTATGGTAGAAATAAAGAATTTCATAGGAGACGTTTAAGCAGCCTCACTTGATCTTTCTTTCTCCAGAATGGAGGACGAGGGTGGTTAGGGTTTGCAGCTAAACCAGGTTCCCACTGGCGGCGCTCAGTACAGAACAGCTTGCTGTGTGTTCCACCCTGCCTGGGAGATGTCTGATGGGTTACTGAACTCGGCAGCAAAGTTGCCGCGTCCCTAGCAACCGCTGCACTAACTACTGCTGGCGGCACGGAGTGGTCCGTTCTGTTCTCTGGACTACGTGTTTGAATGGATGTAGGAGAAAGTCTAGAAGGTCCTGCCCAGCTCTGAACCCCTACTTCACGGAACGCGATTGTTTAAAAGTTTCCTGGCATTTGCACAATCACCTCACAGTTTCTGCTGGGCCCCGAGCAAAGCATCCTTTGGAACTTAAGCCGCGGGTTCTGCTCCAGCGAAGCGCGTCCCTGGGCCGTGCCCTCCTGAGATTTCCTGCCTGCACGCCGGTGCTGTGCGGGCAGGAAGTCAGGTGGCAGTGACCTGACTTAGGTAGCCCACACCTACACGAGGGGGGCTTTAGAAGGAAGCTCATTTACAAGGAAGTGGTTTGCGTCTTACTGCAGAAAAGCCAACATTTCGAGTTTACGCTAGCGTGTACACACGCTAGTCATTTCAACACTCTGGATCGTTCACCCTGAAAGTCCCCGCGCAGAAACTCCGCGGAGCCTAAAGATAGCAATAGCAAGCTCCCCCCACCCCCTAGTCTTCGACTGGGGTCCCAGCGCAGCCCTGGGATTGGAAAGCCAGTTCCAGGAGGCTCTCCGCATCTGCCGGGAATAGCAGGGCACCCAGCAATCTAGCTCGCACCTCCACAGTGCGTGGGTGGGAAGTGTATTAGGGGAGAGCGACAGTGACTCTCGTGCTGGTGCGCTGCTCAGTCACGTGGCGCGGCTGCCAGCTATCCAGGAGGCTGGGGCAGAAGGTGAGGGCTACAGCCTGGGAGAGGACTTCTCCCAAATAACAGCCACACAGTAAAAACGAGAAGCCAAACATTTCAATGAAGCCGTCACGGCAGGGAGGTAGAAAGCTGCCGCAGACGTGGGCGTGTACCGGAGGGAGTTGTTAAGAGCATCTTGGAGGAGCAAAGACACCCGAAATAGGGCGTTAGACAGGAAAGAGGCACCCGGAGTGACCACCCGGCAACTACCTGCTGGGCTTCTGCGGTGGGCGGGCGCCAGTTTCATTCTCGCGCCGTTGGATTATTTTTCCTTTTGTTGCAAGTTCTTAAGCGTGCCTTCTTTCAGTTTCCCCTCGCCGAAGGGATGTTTAGCAGCTACTTGTGCTTTACACTTACACTAGTTTTGAAAGCCAGATGCCCCAGCCCTGGCGCGGTGGCCTCTCTGCTCGCCTGGGGCGTGGGAGAACCAGCCAGTACTTCCCAGACACTTCCCCAGCCACGCACGTTACAGCAGCCAAGGGTGGGGTAGGGCGTCCTGGGCACCTCACCCTCCAGGGTTGCTCGCGCAGACACCGGGGCTGCCGCTGCTACTGCCCAACCTTGGCAGTCTCATGACTTTCTTGAACTTGAGTGGAAACTTCCTGACGGAGAGAACAGGGTTAATTCTCCCAGGCGTGGCCGTCAAAGCCCCTGGGCTACTCTTTGCCTGCGGAAGACCGACTTTGGAGCGCCTCCTTCTCCACTACCCCCACCCCCCGGGCTGGGGCCGGGAAGGATGTCCAGGCACTCTCGAGCTGGCTGTCTGGTGCAAGTAGGATGGGAAATCACCGCCCGCAGGCTGGGGTGAGGCGCGGGGAGCAGCCGCCGCCCGGGCTCGAGGACTCCGCAGCCACGTCCCCTGGGTGCGCCCCCTCGCTCCGCGGAGGACGCGCCCCCAGCCCGAGCGCCCCGGCGGCCGGCTAGAAGTCGGGGGCAGGACCGGCCGCGCTTGCTGAGCCGCCGGCGGGAGGATGGCGAGCCCGGCGAGGCGGCGCTCGGTCTGTGCGTCCAGGTCCTTCGCAGGGCGCCCGGCGGAGCTCCCGTTCTGACCGCTCCGGCCCCCTGGGAGAACTAAACCCAGCCCCTGCCTCGGAGGCGCGCCCCGGAGGCTGGCCCTCGGCGGGGCCCGGGAGCGGCGCGCAGAAGGAAGGGGGCGCC